TTGTCACTGAAAGAAAGGAGGGAAAAATGACATTGGGTACATCTGAAGTTTATAAAAAGATGAACTTACTAGACCAGTTTTGATGTACCTATCAAGGGGAGTAGTTTTCTTTCCTGTAGTCAAGAAACAAGGGATGAGAAAGCTGGAGTATTTCACTGGCCATACCTATATAAGCAAGTATTTCCAAACCTTTTGAATTATTGAATTTGTTCATTCCAGAATAGCTTCTTTACGTAGAGGGGGCGTACATATACAGTTCTAAAGTAGTGAGTAGATTTGTGTGTACTTTTATTCTAATTAATGCAGAATTCTCTCTTCATTGATCCCATTTAGATGAAGTGCCTTTCAGGGTAGAACAATGTCCTGTGAAGGACAGATCTTGCATCACTAGCATATGGATTAAACTTAATTGTTTTTTAATATTTAAGATGTCATTTCAATTAGTCTTTGAAAAAAGTTAATTAACAAATAAAACCTAAGATTTTACAAATATTATTGCTTAGATAAAACCATGTTGATTTAAAAAGGGAGGAAGTGAATTTCATGTCAACCCTCTAAAATGCTAAATATTATAGGATGCACACTGGGGAGCCATTATGAAGTTGATGTATGAAAGTCTGAAGTTTGGAAAACACCAAAGTAGCATTAGTTCCTTTCAATCACAAGTTAATTATTAGGCTTTTCTTCTGTAGACTGTGGATAAGTAACTTGGAGAAAGATAGAAGGCCAGGAGTTAAGTCAAGAATGGATTGTGTTGGCTTTTTATTTCTACTTTGGTTGTGTTGAGTGATGGAATTTTTAGTCTGCATAGATATGACTTTTTAAAATATGTATTTTTTTCCATTTCTCCAATGAATAGCATTTTGCTTACTTGCAGGCAACAATGTATATCCAGTTCATAATGTTTCCTTAGCATTTTTTATTTAGCATTTCATTTTCCAACTCCTTTGTAGAACATAGCAGTCCTAATATCTCTCTCTTTTCCTTCATCCCTTGTAGTTTGTTTTTTCTTACACTCAACATTGCAGGGCTGGGAAGCATATAAACCAGTCTTGTGCAGGTCAGATAAGATGTTTAAAAATAAAAAGATACCGTGACCTACAATTAAATAATGCCTAAAGGTCAAAGTAATTTCCCTCTTTATAGTAGCTGCCTTGTTCAGATGAGAATTTCCAAGTATGAAGTGTGCTGGAGAAAAAGTACCCACTTATTCAAGTTTTCTTTCAGATTCAAAATAATTTAAAATTAGAATTACCATGGTTTACTAATATCATATTTGGAATAATTTCATATATTTACATTTTGTCTCTCTCTTTTCCTGTTGTTTCTTTGAGTCTCGTCTCAAGTCTTATTAGTGATGAGTTTAAGAACAGATGTGGTTTTCTTAACATATGTTTTATTTCATTTCTTGCATTGCATCTTGGTGACAGCTTTGTTTTAATCAGTAACTGCTTATCATTTTTACAAATGAGCCTAGCACTCCTCATCTCATATCGAAAATGCAACAAATGAAATGAAGCATGAGGAAGACTTGAGGTAACATGTTTTCTCCTCTTCTTTTTAGATGGTAAGGTTGAAGTTACAAAAGAAGGTGTGAAGTTGTGCACCATGGGTCCAGGAAAAGTGTTTGGGGAGTTGGCTATTCTTTACAACTGTACCCGGACAGCAACCGTCAAGAGTAAGACTGTTTTCGTATTTTTCAAATACTTTCAATGTGTTTTTCCGTAGGCCTTTGAGAAGTTGATTAAAATGCCTATTAATTTAATCTTTGTAATTTTATTAATCCATATTTTAATTTTTGTTTTACAATACAGTTGATGTATTTGTTTTCCTACTAAAGGGTGATTATTAACCATCAGTTCTACATAACTTACATTTTATTGCTGACTTATGAAAATTATTCTTTTAATCAAGAATTCTCATAATTAGGATTTTTAAATGATATAATTTTATAACTTAGAATTAAATGGGAGTAAAACTTGTTCTTTTTATGCCTTTATAGCCTCGGGATCATATTTAAGAAATTTTTACATGTCTGCTTATTTTGGGTTACATTTTCTGCATAAATCCCACTTGTTTACTCAGTGGTTTAAAAAAATCAAGAGGAGAAATGTCCTTCATCTCATTCAAACATCACTGA